TCCCAGCTCACCTCCACTACAATTACTCCCATTGGCCTGGGTTTGTTTATTTGGGAAATGTTCCCCTTTCTTTCATGAAGCAAGCTTTTCATGCTGGATAATTTTGTGTCTGCCTTCATCCTCTCAAGCTCTTTGAATAAGCCATGCTGTCCATGAAATGGTGCCACATGCAGAGTTAAAACCCCACTTTGCTTACCAGAGACAGCAGATAGGGAACAGCCTTCCTAGGCACTGCACTTAATATGGCATATTTATTATGTTTATTATTATTATAATCTGGACTTTTTCAGTTTTGAGAGCATGAATAACACATCATCAAAAAAACATGTTAAAAAGGTGTCTTTATATATAGATAGATAAAGATAGCTCACTCTGATTCATCTGCTAAAAATTACTGCTGTTTCTTGTTTGTTTGTTTTGTTCAAGCAGAAATTGCTGGGCAAGATGAGTGCCAGAAATGGAAATACAGGATAAGCTTATACTTCACAACTCCTTGTCATGCAGGAAGGCTGCTGTCAAAACTTTGTTACAGGTCTGGAATTTGCTTAGAAATTAAGTTGCTGCTCCAAGCACAGCCAAGCAGGGAGGCAGGGAAGAGCATCTGGCCCATCCAGGGATGAATGAAGGTCAGCATGCCTCATCCATGGGAAGGCTGCAGAGACAGGAGCTGTGCATCCCCCATGAGCTGGCATCTGGATAACAACGTGGATGTCACCCTGCATAGCTAAAGTTTGAATGGTTTGAAGATGTCCTGTCAAGACTGTTTTACCTTGTGCAAAGTGAGGGCATAAATCTTTGTGTTTCTTATTCTGCTGAAGAGGAGTGATGGCTTCTCTGGTGGGGATCAGGGTTTGGTGTCAGCAGCCAGCACAGAAGAGAGACCCAAAAACCCTTTCAAGCTATAAAAATGACCTTTGGGCAGATAAATGTCTCATTCAAAAGTATAGATGGAGATACTGCTGCTGGAGATACACCTTCTGACTATATTTTTGGCCGACTTCTGGATAGCCCTTGGCCAGGGTGAGACACAAAGGCTTCCTAAGCCATGGCATGCTGCACAGTGATAAACTCCTGTCCTGCTCTCCACGCTTACAGCTCCGTTTGCACATGACAGTTGGTGCCACATCCACAGCCTGTTGCCTTCATGTCCCTTATATGTAGCTGCAGGACAACCTCAGGCTTCACCTTCCATAAGAAGCCTGGGATCTGGTCTCAGTCATAGGCAAGAATCCAGACTGTCTGCTCTAGGCATTGCTAGTGATGCGTCAGAGCAGTTTTTCAGCTCTGCATGGACACCATTATCAAAGACATGTCCCCATAGTCAGTTGGATCCTGCCTGGGTGGAAATAAAACACCAGTGCTTTGACTGTAGTTATGCAGAGATTAAGCCATAAAATACAAATACTAAGAAAATAGCTGAAACACTTGGCATCCATCATGAGGGACAATATCTTTCTTGACCCACTAAAACACTATTTGTCCTTTTTCCCAGGGGCCAAAACACTGCTCTTCTGTATGAAATATGTGTGTCATTTGATATGTGTGTATCCCCAAATTTAATTTGTCCAATTGCATTAGGACAAGCAGCTAATTCTGAAATTCATTTTGCTCCCATAATCAACCACTCTGTCAAATGGCATTTGGGTGGAAATGTGGAGATTGTGATTTTTATTTAAAGTGATTTATTGAAATCATTAGCAATGTTCCCTAAGTGGAATCCATGGCAATCCTTTTAATCTTCCCCACATCACAGTAAATGTACACATTTTTTTAATAACAGAGAGTTTGAAATATAAGGTTATTAAAATCTACACCTCTATATTTCTCTCTGCTCTCTCCCTCTGCAATGGGATGGAAACCATAATTGTGGAAATAAAGCCTCCCTTTCAGATGGGAGATGCAGAGAGTGTATAATGAACAGTTAAGCATCTGTTTAGTCACTTTGAATTGATAAGGGTCTTAATGAAAATGAAAGGAGCCAACTTTGTCTTCACTCCAGGGAAATGCAAAAGGTGGACGGGTATTTTTTTTTGCATTATCCTAAGCCCTATTAATGAACTCAGCATCTGCAGCAGACTTTAGAGCTTCCCCCAGTGCTTTTCCAGCCCCTTCCCAGAATTGTTCAGTGCAGGCCTAGGAAACCAAGGGGGTCTGCCCTGCATCCCACTGGAGCAAGGTCTGGGCTGCTGTTACCAGCTGTCCCCAGGCAAGAAGAAAGCTACTCCTTTTGCCTTCAGTTCCTCTGATTAATCTCCCCATGCACACGCACCTTTACAAATCCTTTGCCCCAAATCACTCCACTCCATCCCCTCCTGGGAATAAAGGGACACAGCATGGTGGGAGCCTGCCTGGGAGATTGCACCCTGAGCCAGGCACAGGGATGGCTCAGCCTGGACCAGATTCTCTCCCATTCCCTCCAGTTGATGCACTGGTGCCATGGCAACTGCTAACACCAAACAGCTGCAGTGAAAGTACAGCTTCAGAGCAGCTTCTGTCCCCAAGGACCAGTGGACATGTCCTCAGGGTTGTCCTTTCCTACTGGGAACCCCAGCCAAAGGACGTGCCTCTGGAGCAGGGCAAAGCCAGACTGCACTGTGGTATACTTGCACAGAGCCCAAAACTCACTTCGCATTGAAAAGTTCTTACAAAAACATAATCTTGCCACATTTTCCATCTTGGAAGGATAAAATCTGGTGTGGAAGGACTCAGTCTGACAGAAGAGACATTGGCCTTTAGCTTTTGCCTCCTGCCCTGACCCTCAAAACATCTTCATGGCTTCATGCTCCACAGGCAGAGGAGCAGCTCCAACCCCAGGTAACATGATGCTGGGGCAGAGGAACATGAGGACATGTCCCATTGCAGGATATGTAATCATGCAGCTGCCTAGATGTCTTTCTGTAACCTGTCACAGCTCTGTCACTTGTCAGAAGAAATTTTAGGATGCTGTTAAATGGTCCTGAGGGCCAAAAGTCACTGTGATGTGGTCCATGAACACTCCAAGTAGGGCAGAAAAGCTTTTTCTTCCACATTTTCTTTGCTCCCGTACAATCTGTCCATCACCTGCTCGAGCAGTGGTGATTTTATTGTATGGAAAAAATGTTGCCATTTTATTCTGTACTCTTCTAACCCCCAGGCAGCTGGCAGGATTGCTGCTGGCTGGTGGCACACACAAAAGTTAATCTTTTGCTATTATTTCTCAGAAACTCCATTTGGCTGCATTCAGTCCTAATGTGGTGATTTCCTTGCCCTCGTGACAGCTATTTCTTACATGGGGAAGCAGCACCAAAAGAAAAAAAAAGATAAAAAAAAGCAGAGGTGAAAAATGGAGCTGTGATTTATTTTCACCTCCTAATATAGAAAGACAATTTCCCCCTCTCCAAGATTTCCTCTTCCTCCTCCTTAAACACGTCCCAGTGCCTTCAAGCCAAGCCAGCAAGCACCCCCGTGAAATCCCATCACTAAGGCAGATGAGATGTGTCCGTAGAGAACACGAACCAGTTTAAGACCATTATCAAGGTGATCAAGGAATCAAGGACAGGCTCGTTCTTACCAATTGAGACAGAGAACTAACCAGGGAGAAGAGATGGTGAGGGACTTCAGCCCCCAAACCCTCCAGGCTTTCTGCAAGCCAGGAACACCTCTGATGCCAAAACTTTGCTGGGCGGAGGCTGCATGGGGGGCGCAGGGCTGTGGGGCCGCTCCGGGCTGCGGGCGGTGGGATTGATGCTGTCCTCCCTCCTCCCGGCAGCGCCCGCGATTTGATTTCTCTCTGCCGGCGGCACAGCCCCAGACAAAGGCTGTGCTCGGTGCTCGCAGACAGGCTGCACCCGAGGGGACCCGGAGCACCCACACGCACGCTCCGGCTGCTCTCCACCTTCCCCTCCACCTCTCCAGGAAGATCCAGCAGACGGATCAAAGCTCATCCTTTGTCATCGAAAGGATTAACTCCCCAGGGAGCAGCGGCAGAGGCTGAGCCTACGCTCCTGCCAGGCATCGCCGGCTTCACAGCACGCTTAGGAGTTGTGGAGCCAAGCTCTCGGCAGCTAATCCCCCTCGCCGCTGGAGCTGGGGCAGCTGGGAAGAGCGAGCAGGGCTGTGGGGACAAGGGACAGGAGGGGAGGAGGACGGGGAGGAGTGTACACACACGCATGCATGCACAGCAGGCAGCGGCACCGGATCGGTGGCTGTTTGCGGGGAGCTCCGCAGGGAGCCAAGTGCTGAATAAAACAAGCTGAAGCATCAGGCGAGAGATCTGTTTGCTTGGAAAAGTCCTTAAGGTAAAACCCGAGAGCGGCTGCTCCTGGGCTGGGCTGCCCTTTGGAGACTGGGTGCTGGGCTCGCTGCTGGCGTGGTTGCTGTCTCTGACTGTGTGATTTGTTTTTAAAGGGATCGGTTGGGAGATGCCAGCAAAAGAAGTTGCTGAAAGCCAGGCTGGTACATCCAGGAGCTCCGTGCCGCCGGCTCTGTCACACACCGGGAGCAGCTGAACTTTGCGGGGTTTGAATATCTGTTTCTCCTCCACGAACACTTTGGGCAGTGTTAACCAGGAGAGTCATAGCACGGCACCACACACCTTGCACCTGAGCGAGCCTGGCAGAGAGCAAAGGGGGGATTTCTGTCTCTCCAACAACCATCACCTGTGAGAAAAAGCTGGAGAAGGGCAATTTATCTTTCTTTTCCAGATGACTGAAAATACCTACAGGATCCTGTCTCTCCGGTTTTCATCAGCAAGTAGCACCAGGGAGAGACAGCTGAGGAACAAACATGGTATCAGTCAAAATCATTCCAGCACCTACTTTTCCCTAAGGAACTTCATGCCCATAGGGGTTTACTGTGGGCATTTCCAAGAGTGAAACCGAGGTACCACAGATGCATCCCTATTAGATCATGTAAGAATTTGCAAATGAGAAACCTACCCCTTCAAGACCTTCTCAGCCCAGTTTGCAGTACATGGTTTGGTGTAAGCACAGCAATTCTCGCCTCTTTCTGTCCTTTTTAAGTCTCCTGAGCTTGGAGATCTCTTTCTTCATTGCAATTATGATTATTTGCAACATCAGTGCCATCAAAGATTGGAGCACTTTCCTCTCTCAGATCCTCCCTAGCGTTAACAAGACCCTGAACTTGGTACAGCAAGTGGAAGCCACTACCAGCTCAGTGGTAAGTGTCCTCCAGGACCCCGAGCAGGACAACTACCTGTCCAACAGCCAGTCTATGAACTCCAGCAACTTCACAGCAGGCCTGGATCACTTGTTCCAGTACTCGTACTCGGACAATGACCAGCTCTACAAGGAGTACAAACCCCCTCCTCGAGATGCCATTCCTCTGCCCAAGGCTGTCCTCTACCTTCTCATGGCAGCCCTGGTGGTGGTGGCAGTGGCATATGCCATCGTTGGGCATCTCATCAAGGACCTCATTTACGACTTTGTAGGTGAGTGTGGGCTTCACGCGTTGTGTGCATGTGGCCAAAAAGAGCTTGGTGCAAAGCCTGGGGGTGCTGGCTCATCTCTCTCTCTTGATTTGGGTGGGGTTTAGACCAAGCCTTGACCCTTTCACATTTGCAAGAGTGTTAGTTTATTTAATGTGCTGGATTCTCCAAACTGAGCTGTATGTTGATCATCTTCACTGAGAAAATCCTTGGGTTTAGCCCCCATTCCAAAAGAAAAAAATCTTGTGCGTGCGTGTGTATAGATGTGTATGTGCGTAAATCTGTACTGCTGAATGACTGTAAAATCCTTTGGCCAGTTTCAACTGAGCTTGGATTAGACGTCTCCAACATGCAAAGTTTCACGGCAACAGATACCTGAGCACAGGATAGCAACCCACTAGTGCCTTGTGAAAGAGAAGCTGCCATATGAGCTTAACCCCTTATTAGACACCAGTGAATCCACAAACTCCTAGGAAACACAGCTCAGCAGTCTGGGTCCCTTGTACAGCCCCTAGCACAGCCATCACAGCCTCAGCAACAAATCTTTGCAATGATAGCCCAAAGTATGTGCATTTTTGTGAGGTTTGGCTTCCCAGCAACTTGGTTTCATCCTGATGAACATTGTTCCTCATCATCGGGACATGGGCACAAATGCTCTGCTGGCTGCTGTGGTCACCCAGTGGTGTAGGCAGAGGTGCTTGACTGCTCATGGCAAGCCCCCAGTGATACTCTTGCTCTTTGCCCTGTAATTTGTAAGGCTGGTCATGCTGTGGAGCGTGAATGTGCCCAATTCCCTTCTGAATCCCCAGTACCTTTGGCCCTCACACCCTGACAGCCATGTCCTTTTGGGGGTCAGGGCCTTGCTGCAGAGTGCAGGTGACAGTTTTCCAGCTTCGATGGGGGGACCAGGAGTGATCCACAGAGGAACTTAAGCTCCTAGCTCCTGCAGATGTGCATACCCCCCAAAAGCTGTGGGGAGCAGTGTCCTCCACAGGGGAGCTGGACTGAAATCCCTTTGCACACCCTTGCTCTGAGCCTGCTCCCCAGCCAGGGGTGAAGCTCTTCAGGCTCCATCTCTGCAGTGGGAGAGAGATCACACTCATCTGGAAAAAAATCCACATGTCCATTTGCAATTCCCCTTTATTTCCCTGACCCTGGGTCACAGGAGATACACACCAGCCAAAACTCCAATCAATGCCTGCAAGGCAGGCTGCACCCATGCCTTGGTGATGGGAGGGAAAGCCAAGTCCCTTGGGCAGAGGGTCATAACCAGGCAGGGGCTGGTAGATCCAGGACACAGGGATTTAAGGAGGAGGTACTTGGGACAAGAAAGGTCAAACCTCCTGGCAGGGAGCAGTGCCAGTGGTGTCACATGAGGCTCAGCCGGGAAAACTGTAGGGAGCTGATGCTGAGGAGCCTTTCTTTGCCCCCAGATGGAAGGGAACGGATATATTGTCTTAAAGTGTTAAATTTAACACTTAATCAGCAGCTTGCTGGAGCTGTAACATCACCTGGCTCTGCCACTCATCTGATTTAGTGTTGCCTTCCCAACAGAGGTAGGCAGCTGGGACAGCACCTAAAAATATACATACTCCTTCCCCGAGATGCTTAAAGGACCAGGTCAGGCCAGGTTAGAAACTCCCCCAAGGTGGGGGCTGGTCCAGTCGCAGTGCCCCCATGGAGCAGACACCCCTGCCCTGATTGCTGGGATCCCTGATTCAGAAGACCACGGATGTGGATGCTCAAAACCACCCCTTAGATAGGTACTGCAAAGCAGGGCCAGCATTCCCATAAATGCCATGCCATTCCAGAGAGAGAGGGAGGCAGCAGCTGCAATCAGGGGCACCTGTGCCCCTGACCATGGCACCTGTGCCCCTGATGTGTTATTTCCAGCTCAGCACCAATGTTCCCTGGTGACCTTCAGCTTTAGCCTCTGCGTGGGACGAGGTCAGCAGGGTGCCCCTTCCCTTGCAAAGCCCTGTGCAAAGGGACTTCCACAGCCTTTCACAGAGCCAGAGCCATTCCAGGACCGGACAGGCACAGGGAGAGCCCTGGGGTCTGCCCACTTCCTGCCACTTCAGAAGAAGCCCTTTCCCAGTTTAATGCCATTCCTGAGGGGAGAGCATCCTCCCTGCCCCAGGTTACTACCAGGTAGTAGCATCTCTCCAAGTTAGGGTCAGAAATCCAGATGTGAGCTTCTGCCCAATCCAGACAGAGAGGAGAAGGCATTTCCTGAACTCCAGCAGCATCCTTCAGTGCCAAAGGCTGTCTCTGGCTCACCCTAGTTAGCACTCCAGGTGCATCTTCCCACCGTTTATATGCTTAAAATGAGCCAGCCCTTGGAGGAGAGCGGACGAGACCACGTTTGTTAACGCTGCCAAGGAAGAGCCTTTAAAGAGGAGGTTTCATTTGAATGAGTTTGCATAAAATTACTTTAGGGACAAAACAGAGGGACTAAGGGATAGTAAATAAGAAGCTGGTCTATTAGCTGCCTTAACACAATGCCTGGATTTATATACTCAGCAGCAGCTACAACCTCTGCTGTCAGCATTTCTGCAGTAATATTTGGAAGGATACAGAGAGAGATGGAAATAAGATGTCAAAGGGCGGGAGCCTCTTTCAGGTTGATAAGAGTGTGAATAGTTAATCGCTAGTTTAAATACAGTAGCAAAGGCATCAAGGATGATTTTGAATCCTCAGTAACAGCTTCTAGGACATGGCTGGGGCAGTCAAAGGGTCACCTGGACCAGTGAACTCACAGTGACCATGAGAAGAAGGCACTGGGCTCAGTTTGGAATGGCAAAGGGGTTTTCAGGATGCTGCTGAGCTCTTACCCTGCGAAATCTGAATGGATATTTGAGACACTAACACCTCTCTTGCAGCTGCTTTTTAAAAAAATCAATTAGAGTTTGCCCAGGCATCTCCAGAGGGAGATGAATGCTGCTGTGATGCCCAGTGGAGTGGTGAGGA